GGTAGTGGAGCGTGCTTTCCCAAGTGAGGGCTCCGTGGTGGAGCCGAGCCAGCTGAGATGCCGGCTTGTGCTTGGTGCGGGCTGGTGCTGGACATGGATGCTGAACACTGGTACCCTGGCTGTCCTGGCTTTCCGTAATCCCCTTCCTGGCATACAGACAAGGTGGAGGATTAAGCTGTCTACGGTGAGAATAAGTTAACAGCAAAGTCAGGGCAGGAAGGTGCAGGTTTGGGAGAGGGTGCCTGTAGCTGGTGTTGGAGGTGCAGGTGGAGACACGAGATACGAATTTAACACTGCAGTTTGCAGAACTGAACGATGAGAACGTGCAAAAGCGAAGCCAGTGGTGAAACCTTAGCACAACTCCATGCACACATGTCACATTGATAAACTTCATTTACGGCTTACCTTTCCTAAATACTAATTCAGATTTACTCAATGCGCAAGATGGTTGTTTTGTAACAGAAAAAGTGACCAGTCAGATCTTTCCTCCTATATTGGTCATTGTAGCAGACCTTGCCATGGAGTCTTCAAGTCATCAGAAAGCAGAGTTACTCTTTCATGCAACCATCATTACTAAAACTCCCAATCACATTCTGGACAACGATGAAGTCATTATTACATGCCTCTGAACTGGAAAAAAACTCCACCCGAGTCAAACACCTTTAGTCCCATTTATTTTGAGTTGCTGGTGCAATGGAGTTGTTGCTATTGACTTCAAGAGACAGGACTAAGTGTTCAGAGAAGACAGATTTATACATAACCCTTACATGCCTTCAGAGCCCATTTCCCATTGTGTCTGGCTGAGGCAGGTTGTAATTGGCACTTTATCAGACCAGGCACCTAGAAATAAAGACGGTGCAAATTGAACCTGTAGGAATTTAAGTGACCACATTAACTTTATGCAGACTCCCTGGCTGCTATTGAGTTTTGTCAAAAGATGAAGGAATGTGAACAAGTTCTGCTTGTGATTTTGGGGAGTTCATTAGAAGTGTATAGAACAGCAGAGTGGGAAAGTACTTTGAAGGTGAAATAGTGACTGGTAGTAATTGTGGAGAGGCAGCAGCTATTTCAGTAATGAAAGATAAAATGTCCTGTAAGATAGGGAAGGCAAGGCTGATTTGGAGCTTTGGAAATGATACAAGGCAGTCTTCACTCAGAAATAATCTGAGAAAATGTGGTTAAAGGGACTGTTTAGATTCACATATATATTACTGTTTGGATTCATATACATTGAATAAGATTCTGCTGGCAAGTGTGCTGCTAATATTTATTGGTTCTGAGGATTTTGTCATCTTAAGAGGTGGTAGGAAAATTTTCTTCAAAAATACTAAACAAATTGGCAAATTTTCATCTGTATTTTATTATCGCTGTGCAGATGAACTGAAACAGACCTCTATAGGCAGAACTGCTAACACTAATAGTCTATTTTGAGCAGTTTAGATAATTTTTCATGTTTTGAGTCATTAATTTTGTTAGAGAACTTAGAACAATAATGATTCTTAGAAACAGTGCCTTTTTTTTTAATTTAATTTTTTGCAAGCATCTGCAGCTGCCTACCTGTGCACAAGCTTGGTGCTTGCAAGACACAGGAATTATGTACAGATCAATTTAAAAGTAAAAATAACTTTGTGAAATCCCTAACTCTCTTAAACTAACTAAAAGAAATTTCAAGAAATTTCTTTTCTGTTTGACGTCTTTGTTTGAAGTTGTGAGACTGTTTAATCTGTATTTGTAGCCTAAATACATGGCAGATCCACGGATGCTTTATGGAAAGTTCCATGCATGCCTGGTGGGACGGCAAGGCCCAGGTTAGAGGCCCTGGCTGAGTCATCTCAGCAACAGGGAACTGCGGGAATTTTACACTGAACACATCACAATATGTAGAAGTACATGGGAAGAGGTGCTTTACGTTTTCCTTTGTGCTGTAAAAATGAAATGATCTTTTAGTAACTATTTCAATTTCAGTTTTGGGAAAATAAAACCATTCTGTCTTTAGTGGCTGTACATTAAAAGCTATGTCTTTTTGATACAGCAGGGATTGATGTTTTTATAGAGAGAAAAGAAACCTTGCAAACCTGGGAGTTTGCTCAAATCAGTTATTTCCGACAAAATACCTACAATAATATCCATCTGAGTTCTCAGAAACTTTCTTTTTCTTCTAAATGTCCTTTTCCTTGTGTTACCTTATGATAGCACATCCAGGTGGAATTTGCCTTTCAGAAGAAAACTACTTTCCAAATAAAGAAATAATTGGTTGATGCAGAGATTTTTACAGCTGGTTACTTTTCTTAGTAAATCAGAATTTTAAGTCAAATCCCTGTGCAGGTGTCCAATTCTTATCTCTGTTCACTTCAATGTGAATCAAAATCTGTGTTATTTTGAGAAGAAAAGAGAGCCTGATTACTGTAATATTAAAGATTTTTAAAAGGATACATCTTACATCTGTTGTTTGTGGCAGTAACGTGTTCGTTAGGGTTGTGATTCCTCCTCTAAGCACCTATTTACAGGCACATGCATGTTTTTGATTCTGATCTGTCTGCTGTTCGGGAAAGCCAGACAGAGGCGTGTGGGAGCTGCTGTTTCTTAATTGCTTGGATAACTGACAGTGAGTCTGGTTCCAAAACTTGCTGTGTTTATCGTTCTCAATACAAAAGGCACAAAAAGTAGTTGCGATGGTGCCAGATAGCATCTGTTTTGCATAGCTTTTGGTTTGCAGTTTCTAAGGTGTTATATCCTAGTATTAAAAGATAGGATACAGGAGTGTGCTCAGGATCAAGCAAGGGGATGGCAAAGTAAACCTCTGGAGCAGCAGGTGGGACAGCAAGAAGGAAAAGGAGATGTGCAGCAAGTGGAGAGGTTTAGGAGTGAGCTCACATTACGAGGCTCTGGCAAGGAGAGCAAAGATACTCTCTGGGCTGGGAAGTGGTGCAAAGAAAGCTTTCTACAAGGATTTAGCTTAAGTCTTTCACGACGGGCTTCATCCCAGGAGGACACTGAAAGTGAGTCTAACAAGAGCAAGTCCAAAGAACGGCTGCAAAGACCAAGTGTGTTGTTTACAGACTTACTTGAAACCAGTCAAGGGCAAAACCTGTGGGGCTGAATAATGATAGTGTAGGACCCAGGTCGTACTAGATGAAAGATGTTTACGTTGTACGTATGTAAATACGTGCTAAAATGATACTGCATAAAGGCACACATTTATTTGTTGGCATTGTCAGATCTACTACTAGGTAGGATGTTATTTCAGTCTCTTCTTACATGTGTTTATACTTAGCGTATGTTTGCTTGAAAAGACCACACGTGGAAAGTTGCCAAGAACGTTGTTTTAACGAAGTCACATTCATTTGTGATGACCTTTTATCATAGCTGAAATTCAAAATTATGTTTCATCAGCAACTCTGATCTTGCACATGATAGCTTCAGTGCAATATAAATACTTACATAGTTGTCTACAATCACCAGCATCCCTAGCTTCAAAACAAGAAACCCATGGCAACAGTGATCTGCAAGATGCTGTACAAAACAGGGTGGAACGTTTCTTTTTAATGTGAAACAACTCCAAATGTTCTGATTTTCCTGTATGTGCCTTTTTGAATGTAACTTTAGAACTGCCATGCAGATTTGAATATTTATTTATTTTTAAACTTCATGCAGTGGAACATATAGATCTTCAGCTGAAAAATCAGTAAATGTAGAAATGTAAACAGTAGCTTATGTCAAATGATATATGTGGATTATCTTTATAAGCAATGTTTATAAGCAGCATTTAGGGAAAATATTTTATTCTGAGTTCTTGTTTACATTCTTAATACAGTTCTAGGCAGGTTCAAGATGCTGGTTAACCTTTGAAATGCATTACTTACCTAGTGCTTAACAGAGATAGATGACAAAGAAGTGCGTATTAAAGCCTCTCAAAGCACAGGATCATCAATCTTCAAGTAGCCTGGCTTCATGCGGCGCCCTCCTAGCCAGGGTGCGCATGGCATAGCTGCAGCCCCTGGAAGCTTGAGGCATCCAGCCTCCTGCTTTCGTGCATTCTCAGTAGAAATATCAACTGGACGTTACCAACTGCCTCTGCTGCCTTTAATATGTCTTCGATAATTTAATATATCATCTGACTGCTGAACTCATAACCTGTCATTATTTTACTGACTTGATGGTTCTTGCTGCAGAATGTAATTCTGCTATGTGAAACCTGTTGTTCACACTTCATAATATTTTGGTTTTGGTCACACAGCTGATTAAAAGTATAGGCTTCTAATGAGTAACACAGGTGTAAGAAAGGTTTTAGACCTTACTGGTAGTCCTTGAATTACCTTGATCTTCATTTGAAAGTATGGCAATCACAACTTTGACATTAAAATTATACATCTGGTGAATAATGTATGTACTTTTTGGAAAGTCAAATTAAAAATAAAATCAATTGGGTAGCATTAGAGCGTCACGTAACTCTTTGATGTCAGCCTTTTCTGGCATGCTATTAATAAAGGTCTGTGATAAAATGTTTAGAGGTCTTGGTGCTTCATGGAATTGTAAGAGCTGCATTTCCTTATACTGTTTTTAACTCTTTGCAAATGGGCCTGAGTGAGCTGTCTTGTGTCTTCAGTCAAATTCCGAATGCCCTGCCCAGAGAGAGCTCAGAAGGAAATTGCCCAAAAGCTGATGAACATTGTCTATTTTGTGCTTTTACTTGGGTACCTTTTAGAAAACTGCTGGCTGTGATAGTTTCTGTAGTGTTGCTTTTACAATTGTACTAAATTTAAGATATAAAACTGGCCAAATTGTAAATATCATAACAAAAAACACATAAAGTGACAAAAACGAATTTACAGCACTTTCAGACAGTAACAGAACATAGTTTTGTAGTCATGGAAGCACGCATTTCCACTGCACTTGTTTTTACCTCAACAATCTGAAAATGGTAAAATGGCATTATTAAAGTGATTTAGCGTATTAAAACTGAGTTTAAATGATTATGTTTTTTTTTTTTTAATATCTAGGATGAAGATCGAACAGAGGAGGACAACAGCAGAGTTGAGCCTCTTGGACATGCAGACACTGGTTTGGAGAACACTACAAATTTTTCCCTGGAGTAAGTTATTGGCAGAACACATTGTTTTAATGATGAGTCTTGAGACTGAACATAGACTAGCAAAAAATTTTAGAATAATATGAGTGATACAGCTATTAAGAAAGTGGGGCAGTTTGGTTTTTTTTTAAGTTACATGTTGTTTTGTTTTTAAACAATTTGCTTTGTGGACTCTTTTTAAGCTGATTTTAAACAGTTTTAAAAGCCTGTGTTAAAAATGAACACTGGAAACTTGACATTTATAAGTGCTGATGCTACAGTAGATTTTTCTGCCTCAGAGAAGATGCTTATTTGATGGAACTCTGAAAACTTGACAGAAGGAATAGGGTCAGTGCTAGCACAAATAAATCAACAGGCAAGAATTTCAAAGGGGAAAATCTTAATCCCTGTCACCAATTCAGTCTACTAGGATGATGTGCATGAAGGTCACTTAAATTGTGTGCTCCAAAATGTCATACTTTGTCAAAACTGATGTTTAAGACTGAGAAGCTCCTAATTTTTAAAAAAAAAACAGTAAATGATATTTTACTGCATCACGAGGTAGAGCAAGCTTGACCTTTTGCATTTCGTTGCAAAGAGCTGATCCATTCCTCACTATGGAATTAATGAGAAAATATCCCTTCTACCCTTAAAGTAAACCTTTTAAATTGATTAAACTTAAATTTTAAATAAAAATATATCTTCCACTTCTATTATTTCTGAATTAAATTACGAATTAGGTGCAGAGGGTTTAAATGTTAGATAAAGATCATGGTGACATCTATTAGGCAATACACGCTGAGTTTTACTTTCTTTCATTTACAAAATCTGTTACATGGTAAATTCCAAATGCTATTTGCTAAATAGTTCACAGAACTTCTGTCAAGTTTAATGCTTCTTGGTGTTGCCTTCATGTAACTTACTGACTTTTCATCATATGCTACTTTATTCTTTTCTAGTTTGATATCATACTTCTTTGTGTTTGAAGTAGTTGGCCCAAACTTCTGAGAAAATCAGGAGGCAAATGGAAACAATCTCACTTAGGAAGGGGTCACTTCCTTTTGTTTTCCATTTTACGGAGTTTAACATCTGAATGTGGGATGGATTTTTCTGGAGAAGAAACGATATAAGAAAATTGGGTGCCTAGACCTTAAATGTACATTTTGGAAAAAAAGAACGTTATTGACTCAAGCGGTAGACCCAGTTAAACAGTGTAGACTGGATAAGAAAACTGTGGGCTTTTTTTTGTTTTTAAAAGAATTTAAGCTGTCTTTCCACTTATGACCATTCCAGGTGCATCACACTTATTTTCGCTTGTTCTCTTCCTGAGCCTTCGGTTTTCTTTTAAGATAATAAGAAAGTCAGAAAAAAAGTTGATCATAGGATCATTGGTTGCATACCAATAGCAAAAGTTGGCTTTCAGAGTACCTGTGAGCTGCTTTGCACACTAGTTAATGTAAACTTGGCCTCAGTGTATGGAGAGGAAGAAATGAAGTTAGCCTGTACAGAAATGGGGACGGGGAACATTACCAAATGCTGTAATGCTGTCAGTCAGAACATTGGTCCAGGTCTGAAGAATAAAATGGTTTGGGCTGATGTCTCTCATCTGTCCTGTTGTAGCAATACTTTCTTGAGCTAAATAGTGGCAATAGGGATAAAGACCTCCTGTTTATGATGTTTAAAAAATGAGTTAAAAAATTCAGACACGAATTGAGACAACAAATGTAAAGGCTACCTTAAAAATATGTTAAGAACATTATGTGGAAGAAATGTAAAACAAGCAGCAGGATTTTTGTTGACTTCATAACTCTGTGTTGTCTGGTATTCTCAAAATTCAGATCCTGCAAGCTTTTGTGGTGGGTCACCATACGATCAAGAGCTTATTGAGGGAAGTAGAAAATCTTTTACTGCTATCGTAAGGCATTGGTCTTGCTCTTTACTCCATTTCTAGATTAAATTTGCTTTGTACACTTATGAGAAACAAGCTTCTCAAAGATGTGTATATCTATGTAGAGCCAGGAAATACGGAAAAAGCCAGCAATAACAGAGAGAGGCATAAGCTAGCAATTTACATCGTGGCTTTTATTCAGATCTCTCACTTCCAGATTTACTGAGAGATTTGGCCTCCATATATTATTTTCTCATTTGGCTATTTATAACTATTTATGGTTTATGGGCTATATTCCACCTTTCCAGATGTGGATATGTTTCAAACACATCAGTAGATTTGGTCCAAATCTATTTCTAGAATTTTTGCATGTCTCTTTCTGAACTTCTCCTTCCTCTTTGATTTTTTTCCTCTCCACAGCAAAATTGAAAACTAGATGCATAGTTGCTTCAGAAGGACGTCTGGTTGGTTTTATAGTTAAATCTTACTTTGGAAATTTTATATTGTGAGGACATACAGATACGAAAATCTTTGAATAAAAGAAATGGAATTACATTAAAAAAAATCAATATGTTTTAAAACTAGAGGAATTTAGCCAGTTAAAATTTAGTAATTCTCATTTGATTAAGGAGTAGTTATGTGAAAGCTGATGTTAAGGCTTAGAGTGGGCTCTCTTTAAGATAAAAAATAAAGCATGCTGGTCCTATGATCAGCTTTTAGGCTTCCGAGGAAAAAATTTATGTGTAATTTAAGGTATTTCTGCTCAATGGTCAAATTTAGCTTTAGAATAAGGAAAAAAGAAAACAGTATGCATGCAATGATGATGATGATTATACCTATTTCTATGTAGCAAACAGTTTACAGAAATTATCTTTGATTTTTGTTTAGTTTATTAATTGCATTGTTTTTGATGATTGATCTCCTTTCATGCCATCAGATTAATCTTCAGGTACGTAGCATTCAGCAGTGCTTTCATCACCATGATTTGCTTTCTGGAATGGTTTTGTTTTTCTGTGTATGTTTGTGTGAGGTTTTTTGGTTCCTTCACGGTACATGTTCATATTCCCTCATTCATCATTGTCTCACAGTGATATGGTAAAGCTCGTAGAAGTCTCCAATGACGGCGGGCCTCTGGGAATCCATGTAGTGCCTTTCAGTGCCCGAGGCGGAAGGTAACGTATTGTGTAGGATTTTACTTGAATTGTAACTTGCTGTGTTTTATCTTAATTTATGTGTTGTGTGCCTTTGCCTTCTGTAGAATAGTGCAATTTTTTCCAAAAGGCAGTCTCATTGATTAAGAAAGGAAGAAATGCGAGTTTAGTGACTCAGTACTTGCAATGTGCTCTATAATGGAAAGGCTCTGCTTAAAAGGAGTTAGGACAGTGGGCTCTAAGTAGAGGTTCTGTTGTGGTCTCATGGGAAGTTGAAGTATAAAGGCATTTCTTTTTTGGACTCTAAAAGTTATAATCTGCTGCTTTAATTCAGGTAGATGTTTATGCAGCATTTCCTTACTGACTGTTTAGAGCCACAAGTTTCCAAATAACAGCAGGAGTCTAAACCAGAGGCATCCTATGCCTGCCTTGGATAAGAGTGGAAGAGAAAACAATCATCATGCTTTCGATATGTAGTGATGGGCCATCTGTTGGGGTTAAAGTGAAGTAGCAGAACCAGTTGAAACATTCCAATTTGGGGGACGGTGAACCTGTTTTACTGTTTGACAGGCTGGAACTCCTGAAGTTGGATTGTTTACCAAAGGAAGTGTGAAGTCCTTTACATTACAAATATAATGTGGGGGATTATATTGCTAAGCAGAATGCATAATCTCTAATGCTTACTTGATAAAGTAGAGTTTTAAAATGTAGGATCATTAACACTATCTCAGAAAATAGCTTAACTTTTATAGTAATTACTGGTGGCTTTGAAGCTTTTATGCTGACAAATGATAATTCCTCAGTAGTAAATGCAAATTTTATTTTGGTGATGCATATTTTAAGTATACACTGTATTTTTCCTCTTTAAGGAAAAGAGGAACAGATACGTATTTTAAAAAATAATCTTTGTTTACATGTGAAGGGGTGTTATGTTCTCCCATGTCTGTTGACCCAGCAACAATTTCAGTTTAGTGATGAAGAGCAAAACTATCTTGCTATAATATATATCTCTCTCTCTATATCAAATATTAATACCCTCTTTTCAGGTATGGTAAATGTATTTTTCCTTCTGTGCCAACACCTTCAAAGGATTTTAAACACAGTATAAGAGCTTTATTTGAAGTTGTTACTTTAAAACAAACGCTTCCATACTAACACGTATAGTGAGAAAATTTACTTTTTTAAAAAATTTAAGGCTGCTTTCTCTGAGGACTACAGGTATTAAGAACAAACTTCCACCTCTTCATAATCTGAAATCTATCAAATTCATTGTGTGGACGGAAAGGGTATGAGTGAATGATACTTCAAACATAAGCTAAGAAGTAAATCCCATAGAGTTGGAAATGGTTGAAATGTTCACACAGTTATCTAGGATTTAGACAGTGTGAAGGCCAAGACAAAGAATGTTGGCTGTCTCCCAAGTACGTGTTTAATAAAATGGATGCTGGAGATGTGTATTTCGACGTTTTGAATAAGAATTTTAACTTAACTAAAATTCATCTCCAGGATATTAACATGCTTGTCAAGTCTGAGGTGAAGCTTAAACTGTTCATACATAGTGAGAGCATGTAAAATGAAAAAGCCATAAACAGAGAAATAAAATATGTCACATTTTTTAAACTATGCTAGCTATGTCAAGAGCTACAAAGCACTTTTAACACTTTTTTTTTGTGTGTGTTCTGAGTTTAGGGTTGTATGACAAAGTTTTATTACAGGAAAGCCAATTTTAAATACAGATGTGTAGAATCAGGCCATACTTGAAAATCAAATTCTGTTACAGGGGAATTAATTTTTGTATTAAAGTTTATATACTTTTTCGTCATAATACTAGAACTCCCCTCACAGAAAACTGAATGGTACATGCAATTGCTATCTGAGTTTTTTCAAACCCTTACAAACTTATCTCCTGAATAGGGGAGATACTTGGGTCCATGTCTTGAAAGTGTGAAGGGCAGACTAGGAAAGGACCTGGGATATTTTCAAAACATTTCTCCCATGCTCTCTGCCTTGCAGTGAAAGAAAAGTTCATTGCACGGTATTGATTATAGGCACTTGTGTTGTGCTGCTGCTTTACCCTCCGCTGTGCCCACACCTCTACCTGCAGCCTTTCACTGAGAGTAAAGACTTTTTCCCCAGCTCCCTGCAGTGTGTGTTTCCCAGCTCCAGTTCTGTGGTGCTTGGTGGGGAGGTTGGTTTGTTCTGGTTTTGGTTTTTGGGTTTTTTTTTTAATTGTTTTCTTTTAGTCTCACAGCTCTCTTGAATGGATAAGGTAAGGTACACTTGGTTCTCCTTTTGCTAGATTCAGAGGGAGAGCAGATGTTTGGCAGGGATCCTCTTCTGCCTACTTGTTTCTCACTCGAACACGTGGCTGCTCTTTGTTCCTCCTCTGCCTCCAAAGTGTAGTGCTCAGTGCTACAGTGAACTAACTTACTTGAGCCAGGGAACTGCTCAGTAGAAACCTAAATATACAAAATCAAACACAGAACCTCAGTAAAGACTCTGAGGAATGTCCAAAAAGAAAAATTCTGATGTATCATATAGCTTAGTCCACTGGCCCACTGTTTTTTTTTATATTTGCTTAGTGTTCAATTCCAGTCATGCTGTGTTTTCAATTATTTTTCTTTCAGTTCCTTTCTTTTGCTTTTGGAAATGTTACTCAATAGGCAATGGTTATTAAATCAATAACGTTAAAAAGTGAAAAAAATGTAAAAACGTACTAATGCAATTCTCCCTGTTCCTGCCATGCAATAGGAGGGGTCTTCTCCCACCAAAAATTTCTTCCTCCCCCAAAGTAAATACTCCAGTCCTCTAACAATTATGTACCATAACTATGTGCTTTATTTATGTTGAGGAAACACTTGACTTTTTCACAGTCTTTTGAGGGTTTGGAGTAAGAATCTGTCTTCAGTATTGATTTCGATCTTGAACAAACCTGAAGAGACCTCTGCCTCATCTATATAGATGCTACTAATTATTTCTGTTCCTAGTAAAACCAAGACTTCTTCTAACAAAAAAAACCCACACAAAACAACCTCTCCATAATCCCCAGGGAAAAGTACTTTTGATTTGTACAAATATGGTCAAACTTTCTTCTTTGGATATGTTTTATTGTCCTTGTGTTTTTACCTCTAGAAGTGTATCAGTCTTTTAATGGCCTTTTTGATCATATACTTTACATAACGAGTTTGTTTACCTCATCAAAAGGAAGGAGGGGTATACATATTCATTACCTTATGGTTGTGAAGTTTTTCAAGATAAAACTTTGTTTGTAAAACTTGCTGGCGTATTTTTTCAATGGCACAGATGCAGTGCTAAGCAGAATAGGAGGCATCAAAATGAAAGCAAAGAGAAGGACAGAACAGAAAGTGTAGAGTTTAAATGAGAGCAGAGCAAAGAGGAAGCGAATGAAAGGAAAGCATAAAAGGAAGGAAAATTCTAAATCTGTGCCTTCAACACCAATCCCTCCTTCTTATTAGGTGCTCAGAGAGGAGCGCAAGCATCCCATCCCTTAAGAATAACATTTGAGCAATCCTGCCTGATGAGGGATGTTGATGCATAGATGGGGTTGCATTGAGTTCTCCTCTGCAAGCTTTATAATAATTCTAGTGTTATTTACTGTTGGCCTCTTCTGCTTTCAAGAGTCTTTGAAATCTTCCCAAGCTGTATACGCTAGCTGCTCTTCTGAAGTCTTTCAATGTCTGTCTTTGGAAGGAGATTCAATTAATGCAAGGAATATGTGAGATAACATCAGAAATTTCTGTGAATAATATGGAAGTTATAATCCCATGGCCCCGAGACTACTGTGAAGTCTACTTAGTAAAACAGAACAAAAAAGGATTTGGATGTTCATCTGAAAACCCCATAAAGAACATCCATTAGTAAGCATCAGACACGTCACTTTGATGCAGAGCAGTATGTAGGTCTCTCCAGCTGTTCTTCCTATTGAAGCATGCCACAAAATCCATGATAAATCCTACAGCTAAAACCTGGCAGCTAAAAATATTAAATCTGTGTTTCTATGTTATATATCCTGAATGTCCTAAAAATATCAAGGAAGTCTCAGAAGATTGGGAAAAATAAGAGATTGAATTTTATTGCCTTTTTTTGTCAGTTTAAATGACAAACTCAACAGATTTTGTTTAAAAAAAAAACACACGAAAAACCTCAAATGAAGGTATGCATTGATGTATACATAATCCCCATACTAGAAAATTATTTATATGTTTTTCTGTTCTTTAGTTTGTTTTAGGGTTTGTTTTTTTGTTTTAGAAGTGTCCTTCATTTTCGAGATTTTATAAAACTCTTCGTATGTTATTGTGGAAGTTACAGTCTTCTACCCAAGATACGAAGAAAACTGAAGTAATATCTAATGTCCATTGTCCGTAGTGAGCGTCCTTCACACTGCCTCCAAAGGGCCTCTCTAATGATCCTATTCTGTTTGATGATCTAGGAGGAATGTGTTATCTGCATCTCCATTTATTCCTCTCCTGCATTTCCAGCCTTTTAAGTCTCAAACATAGCCATGGTTTTCAAAAACCAGAAGCATTGGGAAAAGTTTCCCTGTGGTGTGAACGTACCATTCCCTCACTCTTTTAGGTGAATTCAAGGCTTTCTTTGTCTGATCTCAGCCTTTAAAAAGTTATATAAACTTAATAGGAAGTATTATAGGAAGGATTACTCAAGTTGAAATCTTAGGAGTAGTTACCAAAAATAGGAAATTGATTCCGGATTTCAGGCATCAAAGCTGATAAAGTTATTTTAAGGCCTCACGTCAACGTTGTGCAAAGGAGTTTATGTTCAATTTAGCATCGATCAGCCACAATAATTTAATTTGAACAAACAAGTTGATTTGCCTACTCTAACCTCCGAATCTCAGGAAATATTTACTGTGTTTATGTTCCTGTAGAACTTACCAGAGCTCTTACGTTGTGTGAAACCGCTACACATCAGCTTATCAATCTATCCTTATTTTTGCCCTGTAATTTAGTTTTTGCCTTTTTGTGTTAGTGACTTTACGTAAACATCTAAATTGGTTATTTTCTGTTCTGATTTGATTAGATTACAGTTAGCTTGCAGGTAATAGGTAAACAACTTCAGTGTGTATGTACAATGGGTGATGATGGCCAAATCATATTCTAGATGCTCAGCGTAATATTTTTATTCCTCTCATAGTATTTACACTGTCAGTTTTTATTAAGACAAATTATCATCATTTCCATACAGCTGGATGGCATGTGGGGAGTTCACAATTTCAAACAACTACCCAGACTAACTCAGGCAATTTAGTTGTCAATAAAACATTCGTTGCTTATTTCTAGTTTTATCATTGGTTGTAATTTATACCAAGAACTGAAATGTTAACACATGTAGCTGAGTTTATTTTAATTGTATAATTAGAGTAATGAACCTTGTAGAAATACAGTGGTGCAAACGCTAACATAATCTAAGCTGTTTACACTCCCAATTAGGTATTTAAAACAAAGACTGAGCTCTGTGCTTTGTTACTGTTTTCCTTCTGTCCCCATGTCAGCTAACGTCAGTCTAAAACAGTGCAGGTACCAAAATTCCCTTTATACTTATTGTTTCACCAAGGCTGTAGATTTGGAGAATGTTTCACACAATGTTTAATCTCATTCTTGAAGAAGTTGTGGTTTAAAACATAATGGGAGAATGTGGTGGAAGAGGCGTTGATTTACTTGAGTTGGACAAAATCAAGCAAATTCAAATGCACCGATATATTTGTATGCTACATGGTTGTGTGCAAACAAGTATATATAGTGACTTTTTTACTTTATACTAGATTAGTTTACAGGCTTTCAAAATGTATGTTTAGCTAATGTAGGAAACGTAATATTGAAACTGTAGTAGAGCTACATCTTCATTTACCAGGATTAATGGTGGTGACATATGGCAGGGAAAAAAAATCCAATTAGTTTTTAGGTTATTGCATATTTGCAATATCAGGTCTACTGTGTTTATCTCCAGTTACTGCAATAACAAACATGAATTCCCATAATGCCTTTTTTTTAGAGTCATATGCTTGCAACTAACCATAATGTGCTGAAGAAATGCTGTAGGAAATTGATAAGCTTTTGTCACTAAAATTTTCAGGAGCGTACGTTTTCTGGGAGAGTGCTATGCAGAACTGTGTTAAGGAAACTGTTTCTGGAACTGTCTAAAGGGATCTTTTGCCCCATGTGTTTGTATATAAAAATTAAATAAATTGAAAGGCACTGTGAGGATCCTGGTTTCAGGTTTGATTCAGGCTATTCATCCAGCTTTGAATCTTTTTTTCAGGGACTTCAGCTTTATATGCCTTGGTTAACCTACCTCTAACATTTGTTAAAAACCAAAATCCTCATGAACACCATATGTTGTGTCTGGGATGAGCAATCTTGCATTAGTAGAATTTGTAGCCTGTGTTTAATGAGATTATTTGCAATTTTGACTTGTAGTTTATTTATTTGTTACATTATTTTAGCATTGGTTAGGATTGCTAATACTTTTACTAGATTTGAAAGCTTATATAAAGAAAATTTAAGAAATGACAAACCATGCATAAGGATGCATCTTACGTTAGTAATTTAATGTAACTTCAGAATATGAAACAGCAGAAAACAGCATTTCAAGAAAAATTCTATGCAAAAAGCATTGATAAACCAATTACTTAATGATCATAAGTAGCCGGAGACATTGGGATGAAATAATCATATTATTTCATGTAGCGTATTAACTTAGACTGTTGTAGTTTGCGTAGAATTTCTTGTGGCATGTAACATATTGATATTTTGATATTTTTTATATTTAAGCAAACATGGAAGAATTGGTTCTGCTTTGTGAAATTTGGGAAAATTGTTTTTGTGTTGGTTTTCTATTTATTTATTTGACATGAAAGATGCTGGGCTGTTGGAAGGAATCTGCAAAAGGTGGAAGTTTCCAAACCTGAGGAATATCAACTTGGAATGGGGAGTGACAAGACTAGATACACACTAGTATTGGTTTTGGGTTTGAAGATTTTTTTTTTTTCCTGAAATGCATGTATTCTAGCACAATGATACTTTAGCTTTATGGAATCTTTCTGGTCCTTGTGCTCACCATTGTGATTGCAAAGAGACACGTTGCTGTAATTACAGCAGCTCAGCTTAAGTCCAGCCCCATCACAGGTGGCACCAATGACTGTATCCAAGTGGTCCATTGGGAACTAAATGAGGGTGGAGAAGGTTTGCTCTGATGGGACCCCGGACAGGTCAAAGCTGCAGTTCGTTAGATATTTTCAAAAAAAATCATTTGGAAACAGAATAGTGTCGCTTAAGTGTTACTGTCTGACTCAAACATTGTCTGATGATTTTTGTTGTCAAATTGCTTTATGTTGTTTTTCTCCTCTTAGTCTGTTTAAGTGTATAGATCCTTTCAATATCGTATCTTAATGTCTCCAGGTGATTCCAAAATGGAAATACTACTAGGATCATTCTTCTTTTTCCTTCATCTGCTTTGTAGGAGAAAACATATGACTGTTCTGTAAAACAGATACTGTATTTGTGTATGTTGATTGTAATTTAAAAATCTGAAGTGGAAGAAATAAATTACAGTTAATTTTGCTTTTCTGACCCATTTGATGAAGTGCTCAGGTGCGTAACTTAGGAGAGCATGGGGAGTCCTTTTAAGCATCATTGACTGCTCTTTTACTTTGAGGTATGTGTGAACTGCAGTGATCGCTGAAAGTTTTGTGCTAGTAGTCCTAGACTACGGTCTTGCAATTCCTGCCATGTAACCAAGTATTTTTTTTTGCCATGCCTTGAAATAACATCTGAAAAGTAATGCCATTGACTTGGATGAGCAAATTTGACCCACTGTCAAATCCTGTGGGATTTCAGTGTAAAGCTGTTCTTTAAAAAAAAGAAAAAACAAATGCAATTTCAGTGCAAGAGTAATCCTGAAGATTGAGTCCTTCTTCAAATCTAGAGTTCAGGTATAGAAACATCATTTGACTTTTCACACTATCCTACTAGTACCTCAGAAATTCATTCTTCAGGATCCATTTCATAGTTTCAGGTTGAAGATTTGTTTATCTTTTCTGTCTAGTAATGTCCTGTGGGTAAGCACTGGACAGAAGTGACCAGCTCATTGTGCAGAGGCTATCAAATGGTAATTGTCTTCAGTCATTGCTGAACCAATTAATTTAAGATAATATGCTAAACTAAAAATGGCATTCAGTAGAAAAGTTAAGGTTTAAAAATAAAAGCATTTATCCATCCCTTCATTATAGGCTGCTTGTTGTGTGAGATGACTCCCAAGTTTCACTTGCACAGAAGCAGTAGTGATGTCTGTTTGTATTCTCTGCTATTTCAGAAATTTGAATATTATGTGGAAGTCATTCAACTTTAGTTAACTAGCAGAAAAGAAAGCTCCCAGATATATGGTGCTTCTTAGAGCTTTTAGTGCTAGAACTCAAGGCCTTTTGCAAGAATGGACATGCTGTCATCACATGGCCTATTTGTTCTTACTTTTAAGTGACATGCTTGATTCACCTAGGCTTTTTTTTCATGGATAAGGGATAATAATTCATGTAATGCCTGTAAATTATTTGAAGCTGTGATATCCTCCTTCAAGGTAAAGATGGTTTAAAATTTAGTTTCTATGGTGATTATGATAAAATATTAAATCAGTAGGATTTTCTGTACTGCAAATTGTTCGAAGAGTAATCATTTGTAATCTTAATGTTCCAGAACCCTGGGGCTGCTGGTAAAGCGGTTGGAGAAGGGTGGAAAAGCTGAACAAGAAAACCTTTTTCGTGAGAATGATTGTATTGTAAGGATTAACGATGGAGACCTTCGAAATAGGAGATTTGAACAGTAGGTGTACTTAGCACACATTACATTGCATTATTTAGTCTTTAACACTGCACCTTTCAGTAATTTGAACAAAGTAAGAAAAAGTTGTCTAAGCTTGCCTTTGTAACAAAGAAAAGATACATTAAGGGACATTAGTGGTTTTTAGTTAGCCAAATACAAAAAAATCAGGATAATTATTGGCATTAGAGTATATGCACTTCTTATTTGATTGGTTTTGCGCATAACAGCTTTTTTCTTCTTGCTTTGGTATGCTGTTTATCCTGAAATTTCCATATGACTTTTGCTCTTATACTTGCACTGCATCATGTGCAATAGAAGTGGACAGCATAGAGACTTTGTTTTTAACATTTTAAAAATATTTGTGGTTTTGTGTATGTGAGAACTAGTGCTACTATATGCAGAAAATTCCAGAGAAGTTTGAGAGATTGGGGTGGATGCCTGTACTTAGTAGCATCCTGAAATGGTGAATCAGAAAGACTTTTAGAAGTGAGATCACGTTGTAGTTCACACACAGATAGTTGAAAGAAAAAACAGAGTAGAAGTATGCAGAAAATGTGAGATTCCAAAGATGATAATATTGTTCTGAAAACCCTAATATGTTGAGGGCCAAGTGACTATCATTTATTCTGACCATCCTATATTTAATATACATTTGAAATGTGATATTTATTTCTTTGACTCTGACCTGGATTGGAACATGACATTTTACCATATGGTTGAAAGCAGCTTGTCTTCGCTTGTTCTGTGGTTCTGAATCACAATGTGTTAAGTCTGTGAAAAGACTTACTGACTTTGTGTACTTTGGATCATGACCTAGAGCTCACTGTCTGTCTCTGCAGGATTAAGCATTATTTTCCTATTTCTTAATGTTGTGTTCTGAAACACTACTAACAAAAAGTGAAGTGTAAACTAGACTTTTTACAAGGCTGCATATACTTTCAGCAAATTATGGAAATACATAGTCTTTTATAAAGTGTAATTTTCTTTCTAATAATTCTGTTGTCGCTGTGATGACTGCTATCACAATTATGGCAATTACCAAGGTTCAAAACAAAAGGACACTGCAGTCATTCCATTTCAACAATGTGGTTAAATTTTTTGCTGTTCCAAATCCAGTGTTTGGAACGTTAGTTTTTAAGCATATTTAACCATCGTTTTGCCCTAACGCAATAAACCGTAGCAGAAAAGCAGACCAAGTAGACTAGTGAACAGATTCAAGTTTTATGGTTTATGCTTGAGTGCAATGTGTCTGTCAGCTCATGCTGCTTAATTAACATTAGTAATTATGCTTATAATGTCTTGTAGGCTGCCAGTCCTAATTTGCTAATTTTCTGTTCATTTTGAAACCTAGAGCACAGCATATGTTTCGCCAAGCCATGCGTACGCCGTTCATTTGGTTCCACGTGGTCCCTGCGGCAAATAAAGAGCAGTATGAACAGTTGTCCCAAAGCGAGAAGAACACGTACTACTCCAGCCGGTTCAGCCCCGATTCCCAGTATGCTGACGGCAAAAGTATTAACAATTCTGGACTTCACACGTTACAAAGAATGTCTCGAGCGGGTAACCACGCTGATCAGACAGACTCCTACTCGCAGCTACCTCATAGTGTGAATTCATCAGGGAAACCGCCCTCGGGCCTGGTACCGTCACCTCAGAAAGTTCTCACCTCCACTGCAAACAGTGGGTATAACACCAAAAAGATAGGGAAGAGGCTCAGTATACAGCTGAGAAAAGGTAAGGCACTAGTGCTCTCCTGGTAAATAGCATGAGGTACACGTACGTGTGCCCAGTGACGTTGCATTGGACAGGGCAGCTTGCAGTAGCGTGGGGGATGTGATGAGTTGATTTGCAGTAGCATGGGGTGATGTGATGGGTTGATTTTTGAAGCCAAGAGGCTGTGTTGTCCCTGATAGCATGGCCAGGAGTCCAAACGTGCATTCGGTTTGCCCAGTGTGTTTGCAAAGGCCGTTTTGAAGAGGTCTTTAACATTGTTTTCTGTATCTCAACTAACAGAGAAGTGCAGCACATGCTACAAATTCTGTTGGCCAAGATCGAGGGAGTGCTGAACTGTTTTATATAAATGAATAACCTAAAATGATCCATATTCTGTACTTTACAGTTGTCATGACTTTTCAAATTGAGTAACTGTGGTTTTACCATTAGGTTTTGAGAGTATGGTGGATCTAGCTGGTAAATTAGACTAATTTCCAGCTAAAGCTTTTGTTTATTCCACTGTGATGTGAAAACTTTTGTTTAAATGGTTGAGATGTAATATCATATTTCCTATATTGGCCTTGGGCTAATGTAATTTTTATGGGAGTGAGAGATCATTTAAGGGCAGATAAGAAGGTGGCGTGTGCTTATCTGAGCATCTGTGTTACATGTGTATATGTAGGTGCACTGGTACAACCATGGAATTTTTATGATGTGTTAAATGTCTTAAGTGGTATTTTTATGTAGTTACCATCCAGATGCTGTTAAGATAGTTTACCCATGTTACAGTTCAACTCAAGGTACCTTCTCCTTGGATATAGTATATATTTGGTTTTAATAATTATTATTAATTAAACTTTTTATAGAAAAGTATTGAAGACAAGGGATTGAATGGTAGAGATTTTATATTTTCACAGGTACCAGGCTACTTGTCACATTATCATTATGCTTTCCTTTCGATGAACTTCACATGAACCACCAGATTGCTTCTTTCTGGTTCCTGAATTTTAAGCTCTACAAACTTGGATGACATAAGGTTGAGTTGACAGTTTGCTTCTGTTGTTGATGCTCCTTCAAGAAATTTTTTAGGCTATCAGCTCAGATCAGCCTGCTTGGAAAAGCTTATTGTTATTGACTGAGTAAGGAATCACTGTTCTTACAGTTATGCTCTCAGTCACTACAGTTATTTTTACCTATCTTTTTGTGTCTGCAGAAACCTGTAGAAATATCCACTGGACATTTCATAAAAGAATTCTTATCCAGGAGTGGAAATATACATTTCATATAGTTTAAAAGCACCAGCAATGAATATAGAATACAGAAACACAATATTTATGCACAAAACGAATGTGGCGCTACAGCTGCTAGTAAAATATGAGAATATAGTTTTGATGTGTTGTGGATTCTTGGAGTGTGATGTGAGATTACATTGTGGTCATCTTATGCTGGATACTGTATTGTAAATAACTTTCCACGCTTCTGTAATGTAATTTAGCCTTGCTAGCACCAGTGTAGTAGATGGCTTTGAAGTGCAGGACATGTATGCTACCTGTTGATAAAAAGTGATCTCTGAGGTACTTTACCATTTAGTTCACACCTGAGACATTTGATGGTTCTTATGCTGGTAGAAGCTTTGAAATCTAGAATATATTTCAGAAGTTTAGAGGAGATATTTGTTCCTAACAGTTTACGTATGAGAGAATACTATTTATGAAGAAGTAGCACCTGGCTCAGATTTATGGAGAAAAACCTACTTGGTGTACTGTGTTTTATGCATGGTGGTATTTTTCTCTTTATAAAAAAGTGCTTATGGAAGGATACCTTTTTATCATTGCCGTCTTTCATGTGTTAATATCCGCTGTATAAAGGGGCATGTCCTTCCATTTTCTCTTTCATTTGATCACTTTGAGAACATACACGTGGAGCAACAAATGAAGCAAAACACTTAGGGATGGCCTCAAGTAGTTTATTGCAAATATGAGTGCAGTAGGGATGTTGATTGTCTTTGATTATTTTTAATGAAGGGTGTTGTAATAATACAGGCTTTCTATGTTTTTAACAAATGTGCTTTCTTTGTAGCTATCAGCAGTTATTTCAACAATTACCATCACTAGATTAAAAACTTCTTGTGGGGTGCATTAAGGCATACAAGCATGTAAAGCTTCATCATGAAATTCACTTTTGATTTAACCTGTGCATTTTGGTTAATGATGTAGTATATGAGAATTGAGTCTTTTCCAATACAGGCAGACCAGCTCTATTACAGCTGTGTTTCTATATATTATATATTACCTGAGCTTTATTATATAAAATGACATGGTGAAGTAACCCTACAGTGCATGCTTATGTAATTATGATTTCTTAATATTTATTGCTGTTTTGGCATTTTAAAATAACCTGAACTTTCATAGGATTTAGCTGTTTAATAAAGTCAGAAGAGAAGGTCAGTCATATGTTTCAGTCAATGCAGAGTGTTTGTTGGCTTTTCTAAAAGAAAATGGATATCTGTTTATCTTTCCTTAAAGGTCAGGGCCTGAACTTTTAGCATATAGATATAGGGGTTATTGCTGATATTCTAATGCTATTAAGGCTGTATAACAGTCTAGCTTAATAGCTGACACAAATTAAGATAGCGCATGACATGACAGTGAGCCTATGCTTGTATATATTTTGGTGTAAGCCAATACACAGTAAGTATAAATAATAATAGTTCTTTACAGCTAATATACAGAGAAATTAAGACCACTGATATAACACCCAGAGTGTTAGGATAATTTTTGACCTCATATACAACAGGATAATTTCAGAGTGCTTTTTCTTTCACTGCAAGTGTTTGAGTGAGTGCAATTGAGAGGAATTTAGTCCAGTACTTACAAATAATAAACAACCAATTATACAACAAATGATTCTAAGGCTTAGTCTTTAAGCACTGTGTAACACGCAGCGTTTAGCCTGATACTTGCCTAAAACATTCAAAAGACTGCTTTTCAGTTGGTCATTGTATTACTCAGATGGCATATATACTGATTTTGACACCACTGTGCTAAGACAAGCCTAAAGTATCTTGTCTTTAAATTAGCTTCATTTTATTTGATTGCCCTTAAGCGTAATGCTTATTGCATTGAATAGTTTCAATCTGTAACTACATGTTTATCTAGCTAAATTGCATTTAGGTAAAATGTCAAAACTGAACTCTTGTTTTCTGAGTTGGTCCTAGTTACACCAATTATTTTTTGTCTGAAGTATTCAGCGCGTCAGGACTTCAGTCCACATCTCCCCACTTCCAGAGAGCAACTTACTGGCCATGGGAGTTGTCAGCATATCTTCCTTTTTGGCCCAAAGAATATGTTTCTCATGCAGACTAGTATAGATTCAGGAGAAATAAATGAGTGACACGACTGCAGGATAACTTACAGCAGGAAAGCTATAGGACTCACCAAGTCCATCACAGAAATGTGGCAGCATGTTCTGCCATCCTGGGAGGTGGCAAGTCCGGAGAGGAAGGAGGCACCTCTGTACAGTTGCTATGCAGTAAAAAAGGCTAAATTGCAGATGTCAGGAGCATTACTAGTTTTTTACTGGATTCTTGTTTAGCTTGCTGGCCCTTCCGTTCTTAATAATGCTCCATCTTAGAGAACTGAGCTTAAACACTGTAAGTCCCTCCAGGTGACTGGGCACTCGCTGTTAAGGTGTAGTGGCACTCAGCCCTGCTGCACCCAAGTTCCTTTCTGCAAGAAGTCATTACAGAAACAAGTAAGATGCCGTGGATAATTTGGGAGTTCGCTAATTTAGAATGGCAACCTATTTGCTGTGGAGTAAAGCACATATATGGATGATTTCTTGTTTTACTTGGCTTTATATAGCAGGACATACAAGAATAGAATCACTGAATGCTTTGAGTTGGAAGGGACCTTAAAAATCATCTAGTTCCAACCTTTCTGCCGTGGCAGGGACAGGAAGACAGGACCCTGAACTTGTCTGTAAGTTAGCATGTATCTGAAGTGTACAGATTTACATGCATTTTTCATCATACTTTCCTCTTTTCCCACACAGTTTCTTGAGCCAGACTTTGAACTGACTTCTTTTGAAGTGATGTGTTCTCTTAGACTGATTTTAGAATTCCTATTCACATGCAGTAGGGGTTTTTGTCACTTTTGAAATGAAGCATGTAGATTCTTAAATTACTTAAGTCATCTTGAGAAAGGAGATTCAAAAGTGAAGCAAATAGTTTTGGGCGTTATTAGCACTGAAGAAATGTAAACTGCAGAAAGTTTCATCTCTCCATTAAAAAAAAAAATCAAACACTTCCAATCACTATTTATTAACAGGTCGTAGCAAAAAGGGAAAAATATTTCTATTAGGTTGACTCTTGAGAGATCTGAGGGGTTTTTTGGGGGGGGAAGTTGTTCCATATCACTCAACTCCATAGGTGTGCAATCAATTTTCTTAATTTTGCATGCAGCTGCAGAAATTTTACAGAGCTGAGCAGTCAGCCTTCTAAGCAGTTGTTTGCACATACAGGTACCCTGACTACACATAGACAAATGTTGAAAATGAGGGGCTTAAAGTAGAAGCAGTAAAATAGCATTTCAGGAAGTGTCTAAAATGATCTTGATTAGTTTAGTAAAGCCCCTGACAGTAAGGAGAACATATTTTCTGTTGAGCTCTTGTGTGAGGTTCAGTACTTTATCCGAAGTGCTTTCTCGTGGTGGGTAATGATTTCAGCAATCGCCCATCTGTACATGGATCTCGAGAAGAGACTGCTGTGAAAAAGCAGGAACTTGAAATGCTTGAAAGGAGAGCGTCTGCTCTGGTTATTGTCAGAGAGCGTTTATCCTTTCTGCTTAGATTTATTATAACGTTATCTCCTTATTCTTGATCATTTTATAATCTAATACTTTCATTTAGCAGGGATGCTTTCTTTTGTACTTTTGTGATTTTGTGTCACAAACTGTTTTTATGTATAACCAACCTCCCTTTTGTTATTATTTTAGGAAAGGGAGCGTGTGTTCTTTGTCTTTCGTGAGGAATCTTTACTTTTCC